GGTTATGCTAATGGATGAGAACAGCTGCCTGGGGCAGTCTGGGGGCTTCAAAGAAAGCGGAGTTCCATTTTGGAAAACAGAAAAACTTAAATTATTTTTTGTACAGCTGTGTGAATATATATTATATAAATTTTGTCTCCCAGTGTGGTACTGGCACAAAAACAGACACATAGATCAATGGAACAGAATAGAGAATCCAGAAGTGGACTCTCAACTTTATGGTCAACTAATATTCGATAAAGGAGGAAAGACTATCCACTGGAAGAAAGACAGTCTCTTCAATAAAAGGTGCTGGGAAAATTGGACATCCACATGCAGAAGAATGAAACTAGACCACTCTCTTGCACCATGCACAAAGATAAACTCAAAATGGATGAAGGATCTAAGTGTGAGACAAGATTCCATCAAAATCCTAGAGGAGAACACAGGCAACACCCTTTTTGAACTCGGCCACAGTAACTTCTTGCAAGATACATCCACGAAGGCAAAAGAAACAAAAGCAAAAATGAACTATTGGGACTTCATCAAGATAAGAAGCTTTTGCACAGCAAAGGATACAGTCAACAAAACTAAAAGACAACCTACAGAATGGGAGAAGATATTTGCAAATGACCTATCAGACAAAGGGCTAGTTTCCAAGATCTATAAAGAACTTAGTAAATTCAACACCAAGGAAACAAACAATCCAATCATGAAATGGGCAAAAGACATGAAGAGAAATCTCACAGAGGAAGACGTGGACATGGCCAACACGCACATGAGAAAATGCTCTGCATCACTTGCCATCAGGGAAATACAAATCAAAACCACAATGAGATACCACCTCACCCCAGTGAGAATGGGGAAAATTAACAAGGCAGGAAACCACAAATGTTGGAGAGGATGCGGAGAAAGGGGAACCCTCTTACACTGTTGGTGGGAATGTGAAATGGTGCAGCCACTCTGGAAAACTGTGTGGAGGTTCCTCAAAGAGTTAAAAATAGACCTGCCCTATGACCCAGCAATTGCATTGCTGGGGATTTACCCCAAAGATGCAGATGCAATGAAACGCTGGGACACCTGCACCCCGATGTTTCTAGCAGCAATGTCCACAATAGCCAAACTGTGGAAGGAGCCCCGGTGTCCATCGAAAGATGAGTGGATAAAGAAGATGTGGTTTATGTATACAATGGAATATTACTCAGCCATTAGAAACGACAAATACCCACCATTTGCTTCAACATGGATGGAACTGGAGGGTATTATGCTGAGTGAAATAAGTCAATCGGAGAAGGACAAAGATTATATGGTCTCATTCATTTGGGGAATATAAATAATAGTGAAAGGGAATAGAAGGGAAGGGAGAAGAAATGAGTAGGAAATACCAGAAAGGGAGACAGAACATGAAGACTCCTAACTCTGGGACAGGAACTAGGGGTGGTGGAAGGGGAGGAGGGCGGGGGGTGGGGGTGAATGGGTGACGGGCACTGAGGGGGGCACTTGACGGGATGAGCACTGGGTGTTATTCTGTATGCTGGCAAATTGAATACCAATAAAAAATAAATTTATTGGGATCCCTGGGTGGTGCAGCGGTTTAGCGCCTGCCTTTGGCCCAGGGCGCGATCCTGGAGACCCGGGATCGAATCCCACATCGGGCTCTCGGTGCATGGAGCCTGCTTCTCCCTCTGCCTATGTCTCTGCCTCTCTCTGTGTGTGACTATCATAAATAAATAAAAATTTTAAAAAATAATTAAAAAATAAATAAATTTTGTCTCCTCTCCACTCCTCAAGGTCAATCTTTTTTTATTTTTTTAAATCTTGTTTTTTAAAGATTTTTATTTTTTTTAAAGATTTTATTTATTTATTCATGAGAGACAGAGAGAGAGGCAGAGACACAGGCAGAGGGAGAAGCAGGCTCCATGCAGGGAGCCTGATGTGGGACTTGATCCGGGGTCTCCAGGATCACACCCTGGACTGAAGGCGGCGCTAAACCACCAGGCCACCGGGGCTGCCCGAGGTCAATCTTTAAGTTTTCAAAATCCAAAAAAACAAAACAAAACAAAACAAAAAAAAAACGTCTGCGTGGTCTGGCCTCTGCCTGCCTTTCCATCCTCATCTCTAGCTAGTATAGGTGGCAGATAAAAAATTGCAAATGTGGACTCAGGAGCCTGGGTTTCAAACACTTCTATACTTCCGCTTCCCCGTTTTTAAAATAGAGATCAGAACAGTGACCTGTTGGTGAAGAATACTGGGGGCCCTTGACAGAGGAATGTTTAACTGGACATGCACTGTAGCCTCTTCCTTTGAAGCAGACTTCTTGAGGTTTGCTAACCAAGACTCCAAGGTCTGTCTCCACTTCTCCATGGAGCACCATGAGTATTACAAGATCCTTCCCTGCTGACCACAAAGCAGTTTTCAGAGGACATCTTAGGGAGCCCTTAATTTTGATGTGGTAAGCTTGGATGTATGGAGGTCACTTAAAGAATGCAGACTTCAGTTAATAGCAAAAGCTGCATTTAAAAGATCTAATTTGATAATCTTTTGTTCCCACAATTTGGCATGGTCTTAGCCAGATGAGGACCAAAAAGAACAGCAGAGGTAGACCAAGTACACTCCTGGTAAAGCCCCTGGGTGTCCAATTTCACATCTCCTGACAGTCCCCGTGTACCAGCTCATGCTGTGGGCTAATTCTGGTTCTCAGAAGGCATGCGAATGCCCATCTATGTATGTGTGCTCACGTGATTGTGTGTGTCTGTGTCTGAGGAGGGGAGGTAGTGTCCAACCAACTACATTTCTTTTCTCTGGTTACAAACTCATGAGTCTGGTTGTTTTGAAAACATTTATCAAAATTTGGGTGTTTCTCATCAAAGTTTCACATTTTGAAAAGTAGATGAAAGTACACGAAAATTTTAAATCTTTACTTTCATTTATTTATTTATTATTTACTTTTATTTTAAAGAATGTAATCTTGGGGGGACTGGGTGGCTCAGTTATACGTCCCACTCTTGACTTCTGCTCAGATCAGGATTTCAGGTTCATGAGATCAAGCCCCATATCAGGCTCTGATTCTCTCTCCCCCTCTGTTCTCTTTCTCAAAAAAATAATGTAATCTTGTTTTTTCCTATGGCAGTGGGGGCACTACCCATGGTAAGCAGGATAATGCCCCTCTACCCATGTCCATGTCCCAATCCTGGAACCACGAATCTGTTACTTCACATGACAAAGGGGACTTTGTGGATGTGCTCATGCTAAGGATCCTGAGTGGGGATATGACCCTGGATTGCACAGGCAGGCCCAATGCAATCCTTTTACATGAAAGGGGGAGAGTAAGAGTCAGACAAGATGTGGCAATGGAAGTAGTGGTTGAGGTGATGTGATCGGCCAAAGAACGTGGGCAACCTTCAGAAGCTGGAAAATGCAAAAGTATGTATGTCCTATAGCCCCCAGAAGGAATGCTGCCCTGCACCTTGATTTTACGCCTGTGAGATACATTTTCAATTTCTGACCTCCAGAATGATAAGACAGTTTGTTTTAGGACACTTAACTTGCAGTAATTTGGTACAGCAGCAACAAGAAATACACTACCAAGTGCAAAATTTAGTCTGTAGCATGGCAAACCTGATACCATGCAAGAATCTGGATTTCTGGGATCCCTGGGTGGCGCAGTGGTTTGGCGCCTGTCTTTGGCCCGGGGCGCAATCCTGGAGACCCGGGATCGAATCCCACATCAGGCTCCCGGTGCATGGAGCCTGCTTCTCCCTCTGCCTGTGTCTCTGCCTCTCTCTCTCTCTCTCTGTGACTGTCATAAATAAATAAAAATTAAAAAAAAAAAAAGAATCTGGATTTCTGCTCTAAAACTCACTAGTTAATGTAAATATAAAACTTTACATTTTAGGGATCCCTGGGTGGCGCAGCGGTTTGGCGCCTGCCTTTGGCCCAGGGCGCGATCCTGGAGACCCGGGATCGAATCCCATATCGGGCTCCCGGTGCATGGAGCCTGCTTCTCCCTCTGCCTGTGTCTCTGCCTCTCTCTCTCTCTCTCTCTCTGTGACTATCATAAATAAAATAAAATAAAATAAAAATTTAAAAAAAAAACTTTACATTTTAGTGTTACAATTGATTCTAGCAAGACCCAGATAATCTGGGAATACATGGACTTAAAGATTTTTTAATCTCAATATTTTGGCATACAATTTATAAGAAAAACCACTTTCTTTTTAAAAAAGATTTTATTTATTTATTCACGAGAGACACACAGAGAGGCCGAGACACAGGCAGAGGGAGAAGCAGGCTCTCTGCAAGGAGCCCAATGCAGGACTCAATCCCGGAACTCCAGGATCACTCCCTGAGCCAAAGGCAGATGCTCAACTGAGCCACCAAGAAGTCCCAGAAAAGGCACTTTCTTGATAGTAATTGATTCATTTAATTATAACTTATTTTTTAACACGCTGGTTACTTAATATTCTTGACTTTTGGAAATTTGAGGATCTATAGTATTGTAGTAATAGGTATTTGCATTTATCGAAAGACCTAAGAAATTAAGGTTCTGGGGGCACTAGGTGGGTCAGTGGTTGAGCGTCTGCCTTCAGCTCAGATTGTGATCCTAGGGACCCCACAGGTAGCCTGCTTCTCCCTCTGCCTATGTCTCTGCCTCCCTGTGTCTCTCATGAATAAATAAAATCTTTAAAAAAAAGATTCTGTGCAAGAATTGTTAAAAATACGTGATTTTTAACTCACAAATAATGACAATGTCCTTAAAAGTATGTATTTGCACTTATGCTTCCTTAGTAAATTATCTTCTTTTAAAAAAATCTTTCTGGAAGAAAACTGAAGGTTTTGACTGGCACTGGATTTTAACCAACTGGATAAAGGGGGAGAGAGAAGTTTGCAGAGGCAGTGCCTAGAATTGAACAAGGATATGGAGTGCTGAGGGCGTGAGCACAAAGCAGGTGGCGGTGATGGCCAGAGTAGTTTGTTACATTAAGCAAATACATACATAGACTGAAAAAGAAGAAAATAGAATAATGAAACCCAGGTTTTTATTGCCGAAGAAGTTATTTGTAAATACAAAAAAGATTTTAAAAATCCTGTGTTAGATTGAAATTGAAGGTAAGGATATGAATGTTTTCCTAAAAAATACATACACAAATAAAGACAATTATAGATGTGCATACTCACATGAATATACATACACTTCCTGACACATGTCCACGAGAAGGCCTAGAAGCAATGACACCCTAGTAGCATTAAGTATACCACATACTCAAATCTTGATTTCTAAACACCATCCTCCATTAAAAAGAAACAATGCTCCCTGGAGAAATGGCTGATTCCAGGTCTGCAGCAGGAAGAGTACAAAATGAAGCTGGAGCACCTTGTGCTAAAAAGGTGGGAAAGGGAACAAAGAATGACAGGATGACAGGGACATGTCAGAAGGACTCAAGAGCCAGCTAGACATGGCTCTCTGGCCTTCAAAATAAACAATGACAGGAACAGAATATGACCACTGAGTAAAAGAAATCCATGAGTCCATACTGATATAAATAAATAAATAAATAAATAAATAAATAAATAAATAAATAAATAAATAAATAAATAAATGTAAATCTCTCTCTTATAGAATACCAACTAATAAATATGAAAGGAACAATGGACATTTTAAGAAGCACTACCTAGGGAGTGTCTGGTCAGCTCAGTCAGTAGAGCAGGTGACTCCTGATCTCAGGTTGTGAGTTCAAGCCCCACACTGGGTGTGGAGCTTACTCTAGCAAAAATAAAAAGCACTATTTGGCAATGAGCATAGTGATCTAGGCAGAAGTCACTGATAAAGCTTAAAATCGTTAGACAAAGGTTGAAAAAGAATAAAATTACAGTTGAATTCTGGAATATCTCTCTACAAAATACTAATCAATTTACAAATGAAAAAAAAAAAAGGAGAAACCTAGCAGACACCTATGTCACTAGGTAACCAGATGAGTATCACCCGTGGTAGGATGGACGGCAGCAAGTACCATTCCTGTAGTATTCCTACCAAGAAACATGACCTGCATCTGATCTTCAGAAAACATCCATGTATGCTGAGACATGTCATAGAGAAGTCTGTAATCTTTAATAAAAACCGTCAGGGAAAGAAAGGATGGAGGACCTATCCTAGCATGGAGGAGAATGCACATGTGATTGTGGATGGGACCCTGGAGCCGAAAGGAAAAAAAAAAAGACGTTGACATAGTTGGCAAAATGCAATGGAGTCTATGGACTGGACTTTAACATTGTTTTTTAAAATTTGTTTACTTGTTATTTTAAAAGGTTTTATTTATTTATTCATGAGAGACAGAGAAAGAGAGAGGCAGAGACACAGGCAGAGGGAGCGCAGGCTCCATGCAGGGAGCCCGACATGGGACTCGATCCCAGGTCTCCAGGATCATGCCCTGGGCTGAAGGTAGTGCTAAACCGCTGAGCCGCCTGGGCTGCCCTAATATTGTTTTAATACTGATTCTCTCGTGTGGATGGTTACAGAATGGTTGTGTAAGAGTATCTGCTTTTAGGAAATGTACATGCAAATATTTGGAGGTGATGGGGAACCGGGTCTATAGCATATTCTCAAATGGCTCAGAAAAAGACCAAGGAAAATGGGTATGTACATGTACAAATACACACACACACACACACACCTGATTCTTGTTATTTGTGGATTCCACGTTTGTGAACTTGCCTATCTGCCAAATTTACTTGTAACTCCAAAATCAGTATTTGCGGTACTTCTGCAGTTATTGGCCAACTTGTGCGGAGTGGCAAAATACTTGAGTTGCCAGAGGAACATACTTCCAGCTGAGGTGGGACAAGACGACGACACCTGCCTTCTTTCGTGTTTCAGTTCTGATATGGTTAAGTAAGCTTCTGTTCCACAGTCTATTTAGTGTTACGGCTCCGTATTTTTGTGTTTTGGTGGCGATCTTGTGGTTTCAAGTGGCCTTCAAGCCGGCGCTTAAGTGCTGTCCAGTTTCCTAAGTACCAGGAGGCTGCGATGCACCTCACGGAGAGCAGCGGCGGGCAGGCCGGGTTCAGCAAGACTTACCGCTGGCCATGAGTTTAATGAGAACAAAACCAACAACACATCAACACAAATTATCTTTAAACAGAAACGCACGTGAAACAAGGCTAGGGGTTGATGGCTGGACGTGCCCAGAGGCTCTGGGGGAATTGAACCTGGCAAGTACCCCTGAGAGCACCTGCTCATTCAGTTTGCGGGGACCTCACAAAATCACACGCTCCCGGGGGGAATAAACAGCCACACACACATTTGTAGGGGGAGCAGAGGGGGGTGATGGAGCAGGTAAGGGGACATGGTGAGGGGAAGGGACACGAGAAGAGAACCCAGGGAGGGGATGCTGGGAGGGGACCCGTGCAGGAATGCAGGCAGGGGACCCGGGGAGAGAAGATGGGGTGGGGGGGATGCGGTGGGAGGGGGCGGGGAGCCCTCGACGTGGGGACAGGCCAGCTCCCGTCGAGGCAGAAGGCGTCGTCTACCCAAGGCCAGGCCCCCCCTCCCATTCCGCCCGGCCGTGTCGGCTCCGTACCTCGCGGCGGCCCCTCTGCGACGCAGGCTGCGGCCCTCCCCGGGTGCGGCTTTCCGCGAGGCCGCCCCTCCACCCTGCCACGCGTGGAGCGGCGGCCTGGCCACCCTGACTCAGCTTGCCCGCGCCGCGCGGCCTACCGAGTGCGCCTGCGCAGAGCGACCTCACAGTGACTCAGCAGCTCCGAGAAGCCGCCGGACCGTTCGAGAAGGGAGGCGGGGGAGCGAGTGGGCGGGCCGACGGGGCTGCGGCGGGAGCGGATTGGCCTGCCCGGTGTGACGTCTCGGGGGCGCGCCGGGAAAGCCGAGCCGCAGTGGGGCGAGATTGGCCGGCCGGGCGGTGACGTAGTCAGGGCGCGCCGGGCACGTACAGGCCGCGGCGGCTCTCTGATCCCGAGGCAGCGAATAAATGGGGGTTTGGCGGTCCACAATGCTTCGCTCGTCGGCGGGCTTGGACGACGCGGTGCCGTCCGTCGGATTCCGTTTTCGTCAGCCTTTTGGTCTTGTACCGTGCGGCTGACTGCTGGAAGGGACATCCGGCTTCCCGTCTCCGCCGCCTCCCGCTCGTCTCCGCGGCCGCCCGGGCCCCCGACGACAGCCAGGTCTGGGTCTGGGTCTGGGTCTGGGTCTGGGTCTGGGTCCGGGTCGGGGGGGACGGGGACGGGTCGGGGCCCGGGAAAGGCTTCAGGCGCTAGCCGAACGAGCCCATGTTCGGGGGCTCTCACCGCTGCTGTGTCAAGGCCCGGGGACCGCACGGCGGACCCTGATTTCTGGGGGCACTTTTTTTTTTTTTAAGATTTTATTTATTTATTCATGAGAGATACAGAGAGGCAGAGACACAGGCAGAGGGAGAAGCAGGCTCCATGCAGGGAGCCTGACGTGGGACTCGATCCTGCGTCTGGATCACGCCCTGGGCCGAAGGCAGGCGCTGAGCCCCCCGGGGATCCCCCTGGGGGGACTTCTTGATAGGGTTGTAGGTGCTGAGGCTGGCAGGGCTCTCGTGAGGCGTGTCACGAGCTCGAGTTCCCGCTCGAGTGAAGGAGCTTCCCTCCTCGTCCTCCCAGTGTCCACCCTTCCACTCCCGAGTTGGTGGTGTCTCGGGAGTAAGTTCTTAAGTAAAGTTCAGGGCAATAGGGAGTTGAGGACCGCAGGGACGGAGTTGAAGCGCCTCGGGATAGTGCTGTCAACGTGATTTTAGCCCTTGGTGACGGCTTTGTGTATGTCAACAAGTAGACTCGGTCGATGAAATTGTGGCCCAGCTTTTTGTGGAAAGCTGTGTAAATTGAACATGGGAAAGCCCTGTCAACGTGAGTCAGAACGGTTTAAAGCAAGCCTGAATTCCGGGTGAGCTTTTTCAAGGGGAATTTAAAGGGCCAAGAAGAAATTGGTGTCCTAAGGGGGTAGGTTCCGAACGAGCTGGTACCTGGGAGAATCCGATACTTTAGTGCCTCCCAGGGGCGCAGGATGACTTGGGCATCGGATTCTTCCCACAGAGCATCTTTGTAGACTTTCTTAGTCCGAAGTTAGGCACTGCAGGGACTGAAATTATGGCCATGGTTTCTTTCCTAACTACTTTAATTCTTGTAGGTGATCCATCCCTCTGCCGTCTGTGCTTTCGGACACGATCTCATAATGGAGTTCCCTGATTTGGGGAAGCATTGTTCAGAAAAAACTTGTAAGCAGCTAGGTAAGCACTTTTAAGAGATTGTTAATAGGAAATGTGTGTTACATTCACTGTTTGGTTAGGGAGAACTGGCTATTTGATTAATTAGCTGTTTTCTGGGTTTTGCCCCTTGTGGCTTTTCAGTGTTGGGAGGCTGGCCTGAGGTCCAGGTTCTGTTCAGTATTATTATTCACCGTCTACTCAAGGCCAGGTACGAGGGCCAAAGCCAAGTGGATAGAAGTGTGCTGCTTAAGTGTTTGTGATACTACATGGGATGGTCTCTTGAAAAGATAGTTTTATAGGGACGTCTGGGTGGTTCAGCCCATTAAGCATCTGACTCTTGGTTTTGGCTCAGGTCATGATCTCAGGGTTGTGAGATCCAGCCCCTCATGGGCTCCCGAGCTCAGCGGGGAGTCTGCTTGTTTCTCTCTGTGCCCTCCTGCCCTGGGCAGCCTCTCTCTTTCTAAAAGAAAGATATTTTTTTGTAAAAGAAAAGATAGCTTTATAGATTCTTTGTTATTGTTGGCATTATGAAATTACATTTTTCTTACATGTGCCACCTCAAGGATATGTTTGATAGGCATAAAGAACTCACTGCAGGTAAATACATGTTTAACATGATCTGTAGTTCTTTTGTTCTAATCTTTATTTTTTTTTTTGTTCTAATCTTTAAAACACTATTTTTTTTTTTAGATTTTCTTCCGTTTAAATGTGATGCATGTAAACAAGATTTCTGTAAAGATCATTTTACTTGTGCTGCACACAAATGTCCCTTTGCATTCAAGAAGGTAATTTATCGTACTTTATTCCAAAGAGTCTAATTTTCGCGTCCAGGTAGTAAACATAAGGCAAGATATAACTGATATTTTCATTAAAATGAAATAAGACTTAAAATCCAGTTTCCCAGTCACACTAGTCACATTTCAGGTGTTCAGCAGCCACATGTGGCCAGTAACTACTGTATTGGGCAGTGCAGATATGGCACATTTCCACCATCACAGGAAATTCTGGATGGCACAGCTCTAAGCGACAGATTGCATTTTTAAGGGGGTCTTGAAGTTAAATTGTTGTATCCAAATCCTCAAAGCTTACTTTGCATGTTAAAACATTCCTTTCACTGATTATGCTGAGGAAAAAACCTAGCAGAGGCTTTATGAAGCACAAGAAATGGTTTAACACTTGACAAAGTGTCTAATCTGGAAAGTATTAAAAATGCTTATCTGGGTAACTTTACAGCTTTGGGATCCTATTTAGTGGCAAATAGTACCTGGTAGAAATGGGAAGATAAGGAGGACTCTAAGAAAACGAACATGTGTAAGTCCAACAAAAGTGTGCTATCTCTGTTACTGACTTTGTAGGTGGCCCCCGGCCTATATTCATTTTGTTTCTAGTGGTTTAGAGGTTATTTTATCTGTCCTGCTGTTTCCCTATAATGGCAGTTAGAAACATGAATGATTTAGCATTATTACATGCTTCCATTAGTGTTGGCCAGGGTCTGACCCTTCTAAGTCATCATAGGGGGCGGGGGAGGGTGAGTCATATTTACCAGGCCATGATGACTAGGCCACACTACCTAGTTTATTGTTGGCTTGACCTTCCCATCTTCCGTAGATAGGGAGAGTCTGGCTAGAGATCGTTAGTAATGCTTTATTTCTCAATGTGCAGACTTGTCAACTGAGGAAGTCCTGGGTGACCCTTGAGTTCAGCCCCTGCAGACAGTATACGCCCCAGAATTCTGTGATTACCTGTTGGGATATCAGTTGTCACCTCTGTTTTCTTGCTGAGCCAGGTTTTCTTAGCTCCTGCCTTGGCTCTGAGGTTTTTTTCACTGCTAGGCATGCAGCCACTGGGTGTTTTGTTCCTCCTCCAGAGCCCCCACAATCTTGGGCTGGGATGGTCATTATGTACCTGAGAGTTCAGCCTAGCTGTGTGCCTAGCTGTTAGCTCAGTGAGTCTCCCTGCATGTGAAAGCAACAAAAAGATTGGAGAGGCTGTTGACAATTGTAGGGAGCTAGAGGGTCTTTGGGGCTAGTGTCTTCTTCTGTTATGTTTTCTCCATCTGGAGGTGTTTGGGCTCTGTCACTGCTCACTGAGGTCATGCAAAACAGACAGCCCTGGTGCTCTGAGACCAGATCAGTTTCACCAGCTTCTTGGCTGCCTTTTATTGATTATCTCATGGTCTTTTCCACAACTGGTTAATACTCTGATTAAATTCCACTGGATTCCACCTTGAGCAGCTCTATCCTGAATCTGTAGGGTTGCCTTTGCTGTTAATCCTTTATGTTAACAGTGTCCTCTTCTGATGAGCAGCGGAAAGATCAGCGTGTGTACTCTATGTGATTCTTGATGCACTATGATGCCATACCACTTTCTTTTGTGAGTTTTGATTGTCTGAATCTGGAATATCCTCTTCTGTCATTTTCAGGATGTTCAGGTCCCAGTATGCCCACTTTGTAACAACCCAGTCCCAGTAAAAAAGGGAGAGATACCAGATGTGGTGGTTGGTGAGCACATTGATCGAGACTGTAACTACCTTCCTGGGAAGAAAGAGAAGGTAAGGACAGGTTATGGTCACCCTGTGAATGCTGTTTTTTCTGTAGAAGGTAAAAGGTCAATTATCTATGATCTATAGCCCTAATCGTCTGCGTGCAAGATAAAACCTTTGTGATGTGTCTGTGTTTTCCCCATGTTGTGATGGCTTGGCTTCTTACAAATACATTCAAGTACTCTGAATATTAGAGTCTACTTTGAGATTTGCTACCTTTAGGATTCTCACCTTTTTCTCCCAAGATGGAGAGTTAATGTGGTTTCTAGAACCATTCTGTTAATGTGTACTTTTCCTAAACTCCTCTTAGGAAAATGTAAAAGGATACATAAAAGTTTGAACATTTAGCTTTCTTGCTTTTGTAGTGTCAGTGTCTTTGTGAGAGTTCTGCATTTCTTCATTTGGAGTAAATTGTGTCAGGAAAAAACAGTAGGTCCCTATTCTCCATAGCAGGTGGTCTCAACTCTTATTTTTTTCTCCACGTGTTGTATCTTGAGTTTGTCTTGCTGCCCTGTAGTTTGGGGCGTTACTTGTTGACCACAGTGTGTGGGCTGAGCACGGAGTCCCCCTACCCCCATTCCTATGCTGCCACATCTTTTAACGCCGCCTTCCCAGCAGACGTGGAGTGGGCTCCTAGGCTGATGTTCCAGGCCTCCGTCTCTGAGGACACAGCTGAGAGATTCCTTCTGCATTTATGCTAGGTCCTAGTTTCTGCATCTGTCTCCCTAACCGTGGGTCCCAAGCCTCCTGTGCCTTGTGTTTTCTTTTCTTTGTTTTTCCCTTATTTGGGGGGAGTCATAGGCCCCCGCTTGCTCCTTGGGAAGGACCATGGGAGATAAATAGGAGGTAGTATATCCTGCTGGGTCTTTGTTCTCCATTTCTCCTTGCGTAGCTGCCTGATTTGAAATCTTTGAATATTTGCAGGTGTTGCTTTGTTTTCTTGCTTCTGTTGCTTTAGAGAATTCCCCTGCTGTTCTACGTTGGTCCTTTGTGGTATGAGTTTCAGTCTGGCAGCTTGGAGGCTCTCTCCTGGCCCCACCCCTCTCCGCTCCATCCCAGAATTTAGAAGCTTCACATTGACTGTTGCTGGCATAGATCTATCTTCATCTGTCCTGCTAGGCAGGCAGTGGATCCTCCCAAACTGGAAACTCCAGTGTTTCCATTTGGAATGCCGTCTTAGATTCTTGGATTTCCTCTAGACTCCTGTTCCTTGGGTGCTGAACCTCCTGGATGGGTCTCCTTTCTCCCCCCTAAGTTTTCTTTACCTGTGAATTCTCTCTCCAGAGTGTTTTATCTGCATCGCAGTGAGTGTCCTCCTCATGTGCCAGCCAGCCTGCAGCTGACTGCTCACTTGCATGGTGGGAGCAGTGCGGACTCTCACGTTGGCTGCAGGTCATCTGCCCAGTCCACTTTTTATGCTTTGTGATTTCAGGTCTTTCTTTTGGGCTAATCAAATTCCCCAGAGAAGGTGTTCTGTTTCCTTCCTGGAGAGCACACTCTGACTTCCAGGATTATGGAGCCAGGTAGAAAGAACACTCACATCTCCTTTGCGGGGAGTGTGAAGTCCTTACTGGCTTCTGGGTGCCCCTTCCATGATTCTCATGGTCCTTCTGCCCATTGCTGCACTTCCAGGCCAACAGCCTCTCTTGGATCCTCTGCTGAGTACACATCTGCTGGCATCAGGTGCAGGTCTCCTGCTTGGACTTGCAGCCATTTCTCCTGTTGTGTCCCACGGCACCCTGAGCTTCTGGAACTGCTAATTTCTGAGCCTTTCAGGGTTTTGTTTCATGAATTGGAGTGCTTCTTGACCTTCCCCATTAGTTTACAATTTGGCTTTCTCATATCTGCCAGGTTCATTGCTACTTGTTTGTGTGCTTTTTTTTCCTGAAATCTTGTAGCTGTTTTCTTATTCCCGGCCTTTGTGGGTATACCCCTTTTCAAAAAATCTTTCGTTGTTTTCATCGTATTTGGGTAGGAGTCAGCCAGTATGTGTATTCAGTTTCCCTTCCTTAACCAGAAGCTTAGGGAGACTCAAACTGAATTTGCCTTCAATGATGGCACATAACTTGTGCCCTCTCCCCTTGGACTGCAGATTCTCACAGCCTCTCCGGCCTTCCTGGGGTCTGGTCTTGGGCAGCTTTGCAGCTTGCCCTTCTCGAACACCTTACCAGGTTACTCAGGTGGTTTTTCTCAGATGCCCTGCTCCCACTTTCCTCTCCTATTGCTCTCCAAAATAACCACATAGGCTTTGAAGGACCTTGTCTCCAGGAAATTGGCTTTCATCAGGCCTACGTCCCGGTTTCCAGTCATGGATCCTGGCTTATAGTTAGGAACTACCTTATCATGTTACATTAAATACACAATAATTGCAATATATAAGCATAAGGCTTATAAAGTCTTGCTGCTTTCAGCCTCCAACATGAGAGAATAAGCTCTGTGTGTCTTCGCCTAGCACCCAGAACCTTTTATTAACCGGCTGACCCCAGTCATCCTCCATAATCCCCTTCTCTTCATACTACTCCAGGCCCTCTGGAAGTTCTTTTAAAAATTCCCTGTCTCCTACGTAAGGCCACAGCTCCACTTGGTATGCCTTCCTCCTAAGTTAACAAGGTCTTCCTCATTCTTGGCTCACTCTAGATTTGTGACCCTAGCCCATCCCCTGTTCCCACTCTCCTAGCCCCAGGTTGTGCATGCCTGCCTTTGCTCTCCTGGAGCAGGCACCCCATATCCTTGTGCTGTTTGTATATCATCAGGTCACTCCTGGCAGCCTGTGCCTGCCTGTCTTTGCTGGAGGGCTGCCTCAGGCTTCTATGTGGGTACCTTTTGGTCAACATCCTTACCTCACAGAGTCAGCAGTGCTTGAGAATTTGTATCACTCCCTTGTCCCACATCACCCCTGCAAAAAAAACACCCCAAAACTCTAATAATATAATGAGTATAGGGAATATAAATTTTTCAGCTCCCTGGAATGCCCCTGGAACCAGTTGCCTTCTGTAGGACTGTGTATGATGCCACAGGCTTAGCCTCCTTCCCTCCATGTCCCTAGTCCCCACTCCCCTGGATTTTGTGGGGGTTTTTTTGGCTGAGAACACCTCTGATCATCTCACATGAATACCTAACTTAATATGCTATTTTTGTGTTTGTTAAAACTCTCCCATTTCCTTAGTTAGTACTCACCTATTTACCTGGCAGATGTTTGAATGAAATTTTGATGTCTTCATTTCATGTAGCTAAAAACTGTTTCTGGTTTAAGTGTTGGTTGTTTTAATGGCTTCTTAAATAATTACTTATTAAAGCAACTCTTGCCTTCTCAGATTTTTATGTACCGGTGCTCAAAAGAGGGGTGCAAGAAGAAAGAGATGCTGCAGGTGGCTTGTGACCAGTGTCATGGCAGTTTCTGCATTCAGCATAGACACCCTCTGGATCACAGCTGCAAGCACGGGAGCTGCCCCATCAGCGTAGCTGGGTGAGAAGAGAGGCTGGCTCTGACATGCTGGCTCACGTACAGTGACATCAATGGGTCTGCCTGACCCCAGCAGTGGGGATAGGGCAACGTTGAGAATTGTACTGACCTAAGTTGTTGAGGTGAGGTGTTTGTTGTAGGAGTTTGGATGAATATAATCTAAATTAAAATTGGATTTTAAACTAAAGTTGGATTCTAGTTGTATTGTTTTCTATGGCTGCCAAAACAAAGTACCGCAGCTTGCGCGACTTCAACAGCAGAAGTTCATTTTCTCGCTCTGGAGACACAAGTACGGGTTGGAGGTATGGCGGGGTTGGCTTCTGAAGGCTGTGGGGAGAGCCCACTCCAGGCCATCCCCCCAAGCTGCGGGTGGTCTGCCAACAGTCCTCAGCCATTCTTGGCTGTGGATGCCTCTCCCAACCTCTATGTCCTCCATCACCTGCTTTTCCGTTGTGTCTGTGTCCAAATGTCCCCTTTTTATGAGGGGACAATCCTAGATTAGGGTCCCACACCTCTGCACTCTTAGCGCATCTCAGCTGAGTACATCTGTGACAGCCTTACTTCTAGATGTCACATTCTGAGGTCCTGAGTGTACAGGGCTTAGCCTATCTTTTGTGGGGACACAATCTATCCCATTTGGTAGTGGTATAAGCAAGAGTACCTTTCTCAAAGTGGAGATGTTTGCCTAAACCTGCTGTTGAATGAATATGGAAGCATGAGTTTACCTTGTAGTTAGTGGTGATTTCTCCTGTCATCTGTACCTGGACAGAGCATAGGGTTCACTGTGCACATAGGTCTCCAGGTAAGCTGATGGAGGGGTCGGTGACTGTTGGTCTGCCTTTCTGTGTAGGTATGCAGCTGCCAGAGCCTCTGAATCCGAGCCGTCAGGAGCTTTACACAGGCTGTCTACCATTTGGCGGGCTCAGCGACTCAGTATTGGTGTAAACAGCGTGCACAAGTATGGTTGCTTTGTACCAGCAGGAGCAGTTCTTGTCCGAGTGGCGAGCACTGAGGAGTCAGTGCAGTGCATGCAATTAATAACCAACTGATTAACTGCGTGCTCCATTGGCTTAGTCTTAAGGAGGGGTAAGGGTCTGGTTGTGTGTGCTCTCAAACCCTGAATTACCAACACAGTTCATTCTAGCACGGAGCATAGTTAGCAGTAACATTTTATAGCTGGTTGCTCCCTCTGGTTGCAGACGGAGAAGCAGGCTCCATGCAGGGAGCCTGATGGGCGACCCAGTCCCGGTCCCCAGGATCACACCCTGGGCAGAAGGTGGCAATAAACCGCTGAGCCACCTGGGCTGCCCGGCCTAGAGCTTTTAGATGATCAGTTGCTCCTGGTTAATCAAGACAGACCTAAAAAAATAAGCTGTTCTTTTGCTCTCTTTCAGGTGGAAAGTAAAGAGATGATGGGACTATCTGCACACACTGGCACATTCACTTGTTTTGTATATTTAGCTTTGTAGGCAAAGTTGTGCTCTAGTGCCTTTGTACTACTCATGGCAAATGGTCGGGAATGTCATTAAAACTTTTCCAGTAAAATGTACAAATTTTGGCAAAATAAATAGAAGGATATGGATATTCTAAGTTAGGCTAAGCTGCTCCGTCAACCTCTGCTTCCTCCCTCCTGCCTCCCAAGTAAAGTGCCGTAAGGATTGAAGGGGTGTGACAGATAAGAGAGCAGCTCTGCCCTGGCCTGAGTCCCCAAAGAACCCAGTGTTCTGGAACCTTCTGTCACTTACCCACACAGCTGATTGCACTCTGTCGTCATCTTGTGGCTTCCGTGGTGACAACTACATGAGCCCAGGAAAGGGGGGAGGCCAGTGTACCTTGCTAAGGGCCTTGTTTAGAGGTGGCCACTCTTACACTGAGAACAGCCCTTTGGCCATATAGACACCAGTCATGGCCATGGTCCATGAGAGAGCCCCATATCCTTCAACCCGGGACTTTGGGAAACAGTGAAGCAAAATGTCATTTGAGTTGGGTCCTGATCTTAACCCACTGGTCATCTACCTATACATCCAGACCTCCTCTTGCTCCTGGATTAATAAAATACAGGCAATTACTCCTGGTTTCAGAGCCTCAAAGCATGATTTAGCGGGGGTGGGCTTTTTCCATTCCACAAGGAAGTGATGAAAACTATTTCTGCGGGCTGTCTTAGTTGGTGTGTGTTCTGAACTAGTGGTTCTCAGACTTCCGCATGCTCAGAATTGCCTAGAGGGCTTGTTTGAGGGGCACCCGACCCCACCCCCAGAGTTTCTGGTTCTGTGGGCCTGGGTGGGCCTTGAGAATTTCAGGAAGTTCCCAGCTGATGCTGATGCTGCCAGGCTGGGGACTCCACTTCGACAAATCACTTCTGTGCATCCCCACTGTCCAGTACATGGTCACTTGGCCACAGAGGTTTTGGAGCATGGGAAATGCAGTCAGCCCAACTGTGGGATTGAATTTTTAGTTATATTTGACTTAAGGGCTATTAACTTGATTCACTTTTTAGAAAATTTTTCAGTATGTTAGGAACTTTGGTATATGAGTCTATTTTTTCAACTATAAATTTTAAATACAGGTCAGCCGTTTCTCATGGAAATTTTACCTGTTTTGAGAATCTAAGACACTGAGCTTTGAAGATAATACCAAAATACTAAAGTATGTCATTGTTAAAATTTATCCACATGTTGAAGTGATGTTTTGGATACAACTGATTAAATAAAGCAATAAAGTTTGATCTTACCTGTTCTTGTTTTAACTGTGGCTACTAGAAACTTTGGAAACAGGTAGGTGGCCAGCATTATATTTCTGTTGGATGGTGGTGTTCTTGGTCATCCAAACTAAAGGGCAAAACCCCACATTTTATCAGGAAGAATGGTCAGCTTATGAGTGCTCATGCTTCTGTCTTTGGATTTGATTTGAATGTTTGTTTGTTTTAAGATTTCACCTATTTGAGAGAGCAAGCAAGAGAGAATGTGAACGAGGGAAGACGCAGACTCCCCACTGAGCAGGGAGCCTGATATGGGGACTTGATCCCAGACCCCGGGGATCATGACCTGAACTGAAGGCGGACACTTCACCCACTGAACCACCCAAGTGCCCTGATTAGAGTGTTCAAGCACAGTGGAGTGGTCCTCCCTTGGCAAAGGGGTACATTCTAAGACCCCTGTGGGTGTCTGAGGCCATGAATTACACTGGGCTATACGTATGTATGGTTTTTCCCTATACACACAGTTCTGTGGTAGAACTTAATTTTATGAATTAAGTGCAGTAAGATAAGCTACAGCTAGTAAAAGAGAGCAAGTGCAGTTCTCCAGGCATACTGCATATTACTGCTCCTTGCTTTATTGTGCTTCACGGATTCTGCATATTTTACCAATAGAAGGTTTGTGGCAAACCTGCATTGAGCATGTCTGTGGGTGCCAGTTTTCCCAGAGCCTTTGTTCCCTTTACATTTCTGAGTCACATGTTGGTAATTCTTGCAACATCTCAGATTTTCTGATTATTATATTTGTTGTGGTGGTCTGTGACCAGGGATTTCAGCTCGGGTGAAAGCATTTTTTATTGATAAAGTATTGATTGATTTTTTAATTGAGTTTTTTTATAAAGATTTTATTTATTTATTCATGAGAGAGGCAGAGATGTAGGCAGAGGGAGAAGCAGGCTCCCTGAGGGGAACCCGATGTGGGACTCTATCCCAGGACCCTGGGATCACACCCTGAGCCAAAGGCAGACACTCAACCATTGAGCCACACAGGTGCCGCTTGGTAAAATTTTTTTTTTTTAATTTTTATTTATTTATGATAGCCACACACACACAGAGAGGCAGAGACACAGGCGGAGGGAGAAGCAGGCTCCATGCACTGGGAGCCCGACGTGGGATTCGATCCCGGGTCTCCAGGATCGCGCCCTGGGCCAAAGGCAGGCGCCAAACCGCTGCGCCACCCAGGGATCCCAAATTTTTTAATTAAAATCTGTGCGTTAAAATAAAAATTAAAAAAAAAAACTGTGCGTTGACAATTTTTAGACCATGTTTTTGCACACTTTAATAGACTACAGGATAGCATAAATGGCTTTTATGTGCACCAGAAACCAAAAAGGTCACTTGACTCCCTTTACAGAGATGTTTACCTTATTGTGGTGGTCTAGAACCAACCCTGTGAGATCTCCGAGGTATACCTGTGACAACGTATTGCAATAAATGTTATGTGAGTGGGTGTCTCTCTCATTGGAATTCCTTACTGTCCTGCATGCCCCCTTTTTTTGTGATGGTGTGATGATCAGATGCCTTCCTGGTGAGATGAAGGAGGGGAATGAGGTAGGCTTATGATGAAGCCTCAGTCCACTGTTGACCTGGGGCTCCGATGTCAGGAGGGAAGGGTCATCAACTGCTGGATTGTGGGGACCATGGGCGCTGAAACACAGACAAGGGGGGATGGTTGTACTCAGAGCTCTCTGTGTCCTCTCTCCAGTGGTATGTTAGCAGGCGTTCAGGTGGTCCCAAGGGATGCGAAAGGTTGGAAAGGACCCACCACGTGGGGGAGCACCTCTCTCTACTCACATTACCTTCCTGCTCTTCCTGAGTTGGCCTTGGGCTGGCACCAACCAGCTGTTCCTGGGCAAGGCCCAGAGCCAGGCTGCCCATCGTTCCTGGTGTCCAGCGTCTTGTCTGCAGCTTGGAAACACCGGCCACTGCCTGCCCAGTGGTGTGTGGACTGCAGCATCAAATGTTCACAAGGTGTCACTAGAGGCCTTTCACGGGCTGGTGATGAGGGCTGGTGGGAATGTTGATTGCTTTTGGGAAGTCAGGTGCGGCATCACAGGGAGAGTGGACACAATAGCCGTCAGCCCCATATCAGCATTTGTAGGTCATCGTGATAAGGATTGGAGATATTTTAAATGTATTTTTAATCAATCTTCATGTTCATTCTTTTCAATTAAGCCTAAGATTAAACTCAAAAAATAGGCTCCAAATTAGGTTAGTAGCTGAAATGGCCTTGGTTCTCCAAGCTTTCTGCCTGACAGGGTTTCTGGCATTCATCCTGCACTGCAGATGTCTTGAGGCAGTGGTGGTATGTTCTGGGGAACATGCTGAGGGAACAGGTCTGACTTTTCTATTTGGTCTGCCAGGAGCTTTCCCCAGGTGGGTGTTGATTTGCTTTGTTGTATTTTCTTGAAATAAAGACTCGTGATCGCAGTAGAGTATAGAAAGTGCAGGAGGAGGAGAGTGTCCTGCTATGCTAGTAAACACCGTGACAAGAGCTCATTTGCTGTTTGTTTCTAAATTTTTTGTCTGAGTGTGTCCTGTGCTCACTGCCTCTCATTAGGATGTTAGGGGGAGCTCTACCCAAACCCACATTTGTAGAGTTTATACACACCCTTGTTCTGGGTGATGAGATCTTAAAATGCATTACTAGCTAAGAATTTCTTGGAATAAATGCTACAAAAGCAATCTTTTAAAATGGTCTTTTAGTAAAAACAAAAACAAAAAATGCCAATAGAGAAGTTGGTTAATTTTACATTCTGTAGATTATCATTCTGAAGTAAAGCTACTTATGTAGATAGCTTCTCTTTGGCTCAACCTTAAGAAGAAGGGATGTGCGTGAAGAGTACCCGTGTACTAGTGTCTCTCTTCCTGCTTTCATGTGAACGTTCCCTGGAGAATGAGAGCACTTAGAAGGGCCACTGTTTCCATAGCATGCAGGTAGGAAGCTTATAGGATGCGAGGGGAAAGGTCAGGTTCTGTGTATTGAGGAGCTGGGTGTTGGTGCATAGTGGTGCCCGCACATGACCTCATGGCTGTGGCTTGGCCAAGGGTTGGCGTCATTGCCTTCCCACTGCAGGCGGATCCTCTGGTGCTGCCCTGCATTGCTAGCCACAGAGCACTGGCGGTGGGCTCTTTGGTGTGCTCAGGCCATATGCCCTGTCACCCATGTCCGCATTGTCACACACCCCTGTTTAAGGGAGGGTGGTGTGGTGTGCCTTGCATGGTTTGGCTATAGCAGTGGTTCTCAAATTTGTTCGGAGCCTGGAACTCCTCTGCGGTGCTGTGTACATGCCAGGAACCTGCTCAGCTGGAGGCTGCAATAACCATAGCATTTAGACAGGATCAGATACACCGTTTCCTAGAATCCATCTCGGCATCCAAGGGTGAGATGGAGTTTGTAGGAAGGAACAACAAGTGGAGGAAACCGTATCACCATAATTTTTGCTAAATTAGGAAAATTATTATAAATTAGGAAACCAGTTTTACTGAACTGAGACCAGAGACATCTGGGGTGCCCAGGAGTATTTGGCAGGAGTTGGGCTTGATGTGCATGGTTCAAATTCCTGCTGCAACAGCTAGCGACAGGGAAGAATTGTTTCCTGATACTTAAACTAAACTTTTTTTACTTGATAAACTGATTTTTTTTTTAAATTTATTTATTTATGATAGTCACAGAGAGAGAGAGAGAGGCAGAGACACAGGCAGAGGGAGAAGCAGGCTCCATGCACCGGGAGCCCGATATGGGATTCGATCCCGGGTCTCCAGGATCGCGCCCTGAGCCAAAGGCAGGCGCCAAACCGCTGCGCCACCCAGGGATCCCGATAAACTGATTTTTTAGGGCAGATTCGGGTTCACAGCAAAATTGAGTAGAAAGCACATCCCATTATCTGTGCTGCCCCCCGCAACTTCCCCCACTATCAACATCCCACACTGCTTTATTTGTTATGATTATCCATAGAGTAGTGAAATCTGTTTAAATACTTAGCAATTTTAAGTATTTAAAACACAGTATTAAATACAGTATTTAAAATATTATGTTTGCTTCTAAAAGCATGGTATTCATGGTAACGAATACCAGAGCCATTATGTATAAAACCACCTCTTACGTGGCCAAAAGGATGATTTTGCTGCAACAGAATTAAAACACACAAAAATTGCTATGCACTCCTACTTTGAAATTGTTTTCTCTATAGCTGTGTTATTATATGGTTAGTTATGGGACCAGAATCATGCTCCTACCTGGCAAATATGGAGACTATGAGGCCCTGAGTTGATGAGGAATCCTTGAGGGAATTTTAAAATTACAAATATGGGAGGGTGCCTGGGTGGCTTGGTTAAGCACTGACTCTGACTTCACCTCAGGTCATGATCTTAGGGTCCTGAAGTCAAGCCCTGTGTTGGGCTCTGCACTCAGCAGAGTCCGCTTGAGATTCCCTCTTCCTCTGCCCCTCCCCCTGCTTGCGTGTGTGCTCTTTCTAAAATAAATGAATCTTGGGGATCCCTGGGTGGCTCAGCGGTTTAGCGCCTGCCTTTGGTCCAGGGTGCGATCCTGGAGTCCTGGGATCAAGTCCCACGTGGGGCTCCCGGCATGGAGCCTGCTTCTCCCTCTGCCTGTGTATCTACCTCTCTCTCTCTCTCTCTATGTCTATCATAAATAAATAAATATATAAATAAATCTTTTAAAAAAATAAAAATAAATGAATCTTTAAAAAATAAAAAATGAAGTAATAAAATCACAAACATTGGGGGTGCCCTGCTGGCTCTGTCAGTGGAGTATGTGACTCTTGATCTCAGGGTTGTGAGTTCAAGCCCCATGTTGGGCATAGAGAATACTTAAAAAATACAAACATGTTACCCTCAAAGTGAAAAATATGGTAATCTGATCCACGTTCTAAAGTGATATTTCTGGCCATTGGGAGGTAGAGGATGCATTAGGACAGTGGGGGTGACCTGGGTGTGAGGTTGTGGAGTCCAG